GAGTAAAGTGTTTACATTTCTGGTCTAATTCTTATCAATGGGTTCAAAAGTTTAAAACTTTGTTTCTTGTTTTGCAGTTTCAGTCAATGAAGTTGAAGCATTGTATGAGCTATTCAAGAAATTGAGCTGTTCAATTATTGATGATGGGTTGATTCACAAGGTCAGTTTTTTTTTTATTTTCTTGTGGAAGTCTCTTAGAAGTTTAGTAAAGAAGATCCGGTTAATGAATTGAATTGCCATGTAGTTTGGTCTTTAAGCTGATCAATCATCTCATTGTATATGGATATTGGTTTGTAGGAAGAGCTTCGATTGGCTCTGTTCCAGGCCCCATTTGGTGAAAACCTATTTCTTGATAGGGTGAGTACATGTGTGTGTGTTCTTTAGATGAGAAAGAAGAGCTTTTTTTTTCATGGTTTCTTGGACTCGTTGAGATGGAAGTTGTGATTCTATATTTGGTGTTTTTGCAGGTTTTTGATTTGTTCGATGAAAAGAAGAATGGAGTGATTGAGTTTGAGGAATTTATCCATGCTCTGAGTGTCTTTCATCCTTATGCACCGACCGAGGAGAAGATCGACTGTGAGGATCATAGAAACAATATTTCTTTGTAATATAGCAAAAGCTTATGTTTCAAATCTGTGGCAGTTGCATTTAGGCTCTACGATTTAAGACAAACCGGATTTATTGAGCGAGAAGAGGTAGATATTGTGACATTGCCAATATGATTCGTACTTGTCTTTTGAGCTTAAGAACAAGTTGAAGTTGTTAATGTTAGGTGCAACAAATGGTGGCTGCTATTTTGATGGAATCTGATACGTTGCTGCCCGATGAACTTCTGAACATGATTATTGATAAAGTGAGTATCTGGAATCCTCTCTCTTAGACTTAGTTGAATCATATTGGTAAATTCAATTAGCAGATTTGGTTTTTTCTCTACTTTCTTTTGCTAGACATTTGCTGATGCAGATTCCGACCAAGACGGTAAAATTAGCAAGGAGGAATGGAAGGAGTATGTGCTTAAGCATCCCAGCTTGTTGAAGAACATGACTCTTCCTTACCTAAAGTACGAAATCTTCTCTATTCGTTAGATTTAACTCTCCCATTTAAGATTAGCCTTTAGTTTATGATCAAAATAATCACTTTACTTGAATCTTATTATTGCTTCTTTTGTAACTACTACTACTTGTGAAGGGATGTAACGACGGCGTTCCCAAGTTTTATATTCAACACTGAGGTTGAAGACTGAGGCGATACCATTGTCCATGGAACACCGGTAGCCTTTTATTGCTTGGTAGTGAAACCAGTTTCTGAGTTTTAGTCCAGTGATTTGGCTACTTTTGATGCTTGCATTGTAGACTCTTCCATTGAAAGTAATGAAGCATTTATCCATTTATCTTGCGTCTATGGTCATTTGGTTAATCCAAGTTAGGTGAATTTTTGATGTACAGCTTTTACAACTTTTGAACAGTATATGTATATGTTTTGTTCTCGGTCATTTGTTGAATATATAGTAGATGTATTCGAATTAGATTAACAGAGCAAGAGATAGAAAGCGTATTTATAAAATGAGAACACTATGAACAGTATGT